TTAGTGAAGTACAGCATCAAATTTGAACCCACCCCACTGTTAGTCCATTTGTCTCACAGTGCAATCCTAAACAGAATGATACTCATCAAAGCCCATTGATTTAAATAGGTGGGGGTAACTCTGCACTCCATTGCATTGTAAATCAGCTGAAACCAGCACAAAGTCACTTACCTGTGATAAATTCAGCCTCACCTACAGTTCATCAAACTAATCTCTGCAGTGAGGCCCTGGGGAGGAAGGTTTTTGTCTCAGTTCCCCACCAGACTTCACCACTGTGTGCGTGTTGCTATACCACATGCCACAGTAATAATCGGCCTCATCTTCAGGCTTGGTGTTTGTGACAGTTAAATAGCCAGTGTTCCCAGAAGTAGAACCAGTGAATCGATCTGGGATCCCGTCTCCCCTGTTGCTGGTACCATAGAGGACAAATCGAGGGGCCTTTCCAACCCTCTGTTGATACCAGTAAATGGTGCCCATGCTGCTGCTGACGGTGCAGGAGAATTTGACCATTTGGCCCAGAGACACAGATTGTGAGGCAGGCTGAGTCAACGTTGGCTGCGAAGTGACACCTTTACAGAAAGAAAAGGCAGAAACCATGACCGGAATCTATTTTCTGTTCTCTAAACATCACAAAGTATTTTGTTTCAATTATAAAATATTCACTATACAATATATAAAATAAAATTATGAAAAGTCTTGAGCAAAATGAATCCCCCACACCATTACCTGAGCAGTAACTGAGGAGTACAAGGCAGAACAGAGCGCACAGCATGGTGAGTTCTCCAAAGAAGTTTCTCTTTCTAAAAGTGTTGGACAAGTGGAGGGGATGTTCCCCCTCCTTGGTTATATCTTCCCAAGCTGAAGCAGTTCAGCTCCTTCATGCAAATGTGAGCTATGACAAAAAGCTTGCTTAAAGCATCATTATCTCTCCCGAGAGTATGTGACTTCCTAGCAAAGCCAATAACCATAAGAACAAATTTGCATAGAGGAAATTTTAAAAAGTAGCAAAACTGGGCTTAGCCCAGGATGAAAGTTAGGCAGTGATACCATAATTCACAACACTGAAGGCTTATGGCAGATGCAAAACAAGGGTCGTTTTTATAAATTATGACAAGAACTCCTTTGTAATCTGAAACACATCATTTGTAATATGATGTGGTGACACCATTTCAGTTCTTTACCCAGAAGTTATGTCAACCCACTGCATGCCACTCCCGCTCTGCATGCCCTGCCCCCAAAAGCTCCTGGGATTGCCAGGCACAAACCTGGAAACCTTCAGTCTTGACCTTGGGGGAAAACTGGAATAGAAGTGTGAGAGATAATAGACCTTTCACTCAGCAGTTCTACACTACAGGTTGTGATATACACTTGTTTGAACTACTCCAGAATTCAATAATTTTTGGTGGCCAGAGAAAAATGTTTCTCAGCATTTCATATCTATATGCAAGTGTATGTGGAGGCCCAACACAGGCCACCAGGAGGACATTAGCTGGCTTCACTTCCCACCATAGGTCCTCCCTGGGCATCTCTATGGTTTGCTAATTCTGCCTGATGTATAGAAAATGGAACAATATCTCCCCTTAGTGGTTAACATTGTTATATTGGAAATCTCAGTAGATGCATATGTAACATTCTAACTGTAGTGAAATAAGTGGAACTTATGAGAGCTTTGCTTTGGCTGTATCCTGTACATTTTTGCAAGCCAATAATTAGAACCCAATTCAGTCTGCATATCACCTCTTGCACCCCATCTACTTGCCCTTAAGGCTTTCCTGGCAATTTCCTTACTATCTTTCCAGATAGAATATTTCTTTTCACTTAGGCTTTTAACTGATCTGTATCCATATTAGTCCTGTTAACTGACTGACTTTTATGACAAGCAAGCATCCTTCTGATTGGCTGTCCAGAACTGGCTCAGACATTCTATTTATTACTTTCTAGAATCCTGCCCTGTCTTAAAGGAACTCTGAGAAGCACACGTAGTTCTCTTCCTCCATTTTACTAAGAACAACTCTGAGAGGTAGATTAGGGATGAGAGTAACTCTCCCAGGTTCTCCTTCTTGCAAGGTCCAAGGCTGAATGGGGATTAGAACCCATATTTCCTGCAGCCCTAAACCAACTATGTAGCCAGTAGAATGAACTGGTCCACAGAGTGATTTTGCCCTATCACAACTTAGCAGCATTTCAGCCCCATGGAGCGCTGCAAAGAGAGCAACTTGGTGATCTTCCCACACAATGGATTCAGATAAATTTTAAGAACCTTTGAGGCAGTAAATGACTGGCAGTAAATGAGGTTAAGTCATGATACAAAGAGAAGGACACTTTGCATATTCTCAGAGAGACTTTTCTTTATCAGTCTAGGGCCACAAGCAGGGGATGGAAGGGGAAATTTCTGGAATTTGGGAATGGAGCCTGGGGAGGACAGGGACCACAGTGGGGCACAATGCCATAGAGTCCACCCTCCAAAGCAGCTATTTTCTCCAGGGGAACTGATCTCTGTAGTCTGGAGATGAGCTGTAATTCTGGGGGATCCCCAGATCCCATCCAGAGGCTGGCATCCTCAAATTACTTGCTGCATCCCAGGATTCAGTCCTGGAGGACAGATTGGCTATCATACAGAGCCTTCCGTTCAGTCTCTGTCCAAGCAACTCAAGTCAAGGAGCAGGAAACTACTTGTGAATCTTCCAAGAATAAGTTACCACCAAATGACCAGGGCTGAAGATCAGATCTTGGACTGCAAGCCACCCAGCAGTGCTTCCAGAAGAGGACCGGGGGAAAGAGCTGGTGGATCAGATACTTCAGTCAGCTACCATCCCTGAAGTTGGTCAAGTCAAGTGACAGAAATCTATTTATCTATTATCCAAGGTGCCCTCTGCGTGTGGATATCTAAATCCGCACATCAGGGGCACCTAGGGAGCAAAAAGATTTTCCTGCACACTTGGGGCAATCCCCAGATGTGCAGAAAAATCTGAAATCTATAGAAAACTATACGGGGGATACTTAAAAAATCCCCCCAAAACTAAAAAAGCATTCCCTGCACACGTGCAGGGAACACACTGAGAATGGTGCCTTGCAGCCGTTGCAGGGGGGCTTGGCAGCCTGGCAGCTGGGAGCCGCGTAGGCCTCACTGTCGCTGCTGGGGGGGAGAAGGTTTGGTGGGCCTGGCGTGGCCCTCGCTGTCGGGGGAGGAGAAGGAAGCTTGGCAGGCATGGTAGCTGGGAGCCACATGGGCCTTGTTGTTGCTGCAGGGGGGCCGGGGGAGAAAGTTTGGCAGGCCCAGCACGGCCCTCGCTGTTGAGGGAGGAGGGGGAAGCTTGGCAGGCTCGGTGGCTGGGAGCCCCGTGGGCCTTGCTGTCACTGCTGGGGGGGCGGGGGAGAAGGTTTGACAGGCTGGGTGGCTGGGAGTCCATGTGGCCCTCGCCATCGAGGGAGGGGAGGGAAGCTTGGCTGACCGGCGGCTGGGAGCTGCATAGGCCTTGCTATTGCTGCTGGGGGGCGGGAGAGAAGGTTTGGTGGGACCAGCGGCTGGGAGCCGCACAGGCCTCACCATTGGGGCCAGGGGGAAGCTTACCTGTGGCCGCTTCCTCAGCTCTGAGATCCTCCTGCTTTTGCAGGATGGGAGCCATGGGGAATACTTTCCCCTGCAAGTATCGCGGGTCCCTCTTCTTGTACATGTCTTAATATGTACAACTTAACTAGCGAAAAAAGTATTCTAAGTTCCTGCTCTGAACCACAACCATGTAAGAAAAAGTGATGCTGTGTGAATTATTTCCAAAATGATTGAACTGGATGAAGGGTGCATTTAAGTAAGTCAGAACTGCCTTCCTTAGTCTCCCAGCTTCCCTTCCAAGTTCTGAGGCCTTGCCTCTGTGCCTGTTGCTATCCAGCATCCGGTTACCACAGTGTTTGTGCATCACTGGGGGAGTAGTGCCTTGCCAACTAATTGCCCTCCCCTGCAAGCTGATACTTCTTTCAAAATAGTGTGTCCAAGGTCGTAGAGGTCTGTGTGGCACAGAGAATCACTACCAGGAACAAAAGTTATAAAGCCTTTATTAAAAAGAAAATGAACATAAATGTTATAGACAAGGTAATTGAATCCTTAAAATTCTATGTGTGCTGGCATCTATAATATTACTGTCATTTTGATATAGAGATTTGTGCTGGTTATGAACCGAATAAAATTATACTACTACTAAAAAGGAAATGTTCACAAGCATACTTTTAGCACAGCAAGAGATTCAAAAGAAAAGGGGCAGGTGCCCTATCAGATGTTAAATATAAGGCAGGCACCTTGGCTTCAAAAGTTACCAGACATTCTACAGCATTACCATTACCTTGAAGCCTCTTTTAGGTGTGCAGGCCAGCACATTGCAGTGGCTGCTTCCCATGACCTCAGAAGAATTCTGTCTGCTTTGATGAAATCAGCACTGAAAACAGGAGTTTTATCATTTTTCTTTCTCCTCCCACTGACTAGATCAGGCTGGGTTAAAAAAGCTTTTCCTGAAGTCTGCAGGAATTTCTTCCTGAAGTCTTCCTAGTACTAATTAATACCTGCACATTTCTGTTCCTGATTGGGGGGGGGAGGGATGGACCATCCCACTGTCTCTAGCTAGATCTAGCATTTCTAAAAAGGTGGCTGAGGTGAGCCTGGAAAAGCAATTGAATTGACTTTCCCCTTCTTGTCTTTTCTTGGCCTACAGAGAAACACATTTTAAAACTCAAAGTGAAAAATGCATTTCTTCACATTCTACACTCCCTTCATTGAAGAACACACACACACACACCCCTTCCACCTCTTAAATCCTTTGGTGAAGATCAGTTTTCCTAAGATGAAGAGCCTTCCTTTTTGCCTACCCATTATTCTCTCTTCAGTGCCCTGAGCTTCAGAATATCCCTGTCATGAACTTCTTTCTCACTGCTAGAGGCAAATATACTTCTCTTCCCCTTTTTTTTGCAGATGTTTTTTATCTCACATCCTCCTGTGAGTTTAACACTGTGGCTTACACAAAGCTACTGCTATTGGTGTAGTACGCTCCACAATAGTAGGTAGCCTCGTCCTTTGCCAGCACATTGGTGATCATTAAGTAAGCGACTTTTCTAGGGTTCTCCACGGAAGCTGAGAAATTACCAGAGACCTCTGATCCAAAATTGGTCTCACCAGACTTTTTTTGCAACAGGGTGAATGTGGGGCTCTTGCCCTCTTTTTGCTGATACCAGCTGACAGCTCCAAACGTGTAGACGCTAATTGTGCAAGAGAGTCGAGCCGTGTCTCCTGGGGGGGCTGACTGGAAAGGTGGCTGAGTCAGGGTGAACGGGGACCCTGAAGAGGAGGGAAAGGAAATTTTGTGAAGAATTATACATATTTTTTAAAGCAAAAGTTTATTTAAAATGCAAACAAGGATCAGAAAAGCACACTATGCAAATTACAGATGCTTGAGAGAAACACTAAGACATATTCTTCACCTGAACAGTAAGTGAAAAGTGAGAGAAGAAGCAAAATCCTCTCCATGGTGCAATGTCTAGTTTCCTCAGGCAAGTAAACCCTGCGGGTTGCTTTTCCCATCCTCCGCCTTTAATACCCAGAACACACCATTTATGCAAATATGCTCTTTCTTCATTGGGCAGGTGCTATGTGCTATACAGGTTTGCTGATCATTGCAACATCTATATGGAGAACAGCTCTGGACAATCTTTTAGTGCACTTATCCTAGTTGTAGGAACATGATATGGAGGGCAAATTGGAAGTCCTGCTATGTTTCTGCCATTCTACTTGCTTAGCAATCTAAATCACAAAACTAGAAGGGCTGGAGTAGGGCTGGCTTTTTCAGTTTCTCCCCAGATAAAAGAAATCTCTGATAAACAAACCTGAAACTTTTGTCACTGTTAGCTGTCAGTATGCTGGCTTTCGTTGATTGGAATGGGTCTCATCTCTGGCTCAGGTACCGAGATGGTATGAAATGTTTCGAAGCTGCTGAGATGTCTCATAGGTAGCCTTCCATACAAGCTGCTCTGGAGATCCACCTGCCAGTGCGCCATTTTACTCAGGTTCCAAAAAGGTAGAGCAGCTGAATGGCCTTCAGATATTTCAGACAGGTGGCTTGATATTTGCCTTCCTCCATGTTCCAACCCTGGTATTCTCTGAAGGTCTCCCTTCCAAGCACTTGCCCAGGTCGACCCTGCTTAGCTTCCAAGATCTGATGAGATCAGGCTTCCCTGGGCTATCCAGGTCAGGGGTAATGTTGTTAGTTTTTTCTGTGCCACAATATATATAATTACCTATGGAGATTTCAATGGTGTTGCCTCCCCTGCAGTTCCAGCACCAGAAAGGTGATGACTGTAGGATCCTGTGTCTTTATTT